TTTCCCCACAGTTCCTGTGCCCACCTGCTGAGCAGCATCTGGCGAAGTGCTCTGTGGAGTTAGCCTCCCTCCTTGGTATGGTTCCTTCCAATCAAATCACTCTCCAGCCAGGTCCCCCAAATCTCTGGGTTGGGTACAGGCAAGATTAGATACACAGAGCCCTATTCTGCCGTCATGCTTAAAGCTGGCTTTCCTCTCCTCCCGTAGTTGCAGACCAAATTCCTGTCCTAGGGCCCCCTGCGCAGCACAGGCTGGAGCGAGGGCAGGCACGAAGGCTTCTGCTCATGCTGCTTGCCCTGTGGAAGGACGACTTTCAGGGGCCGGTTCCGCTACAGCTGCTGCTGAGCCCAAGAAACGTAGGGCTTCTGGCAGACACACGGCCAAGGGAGGTGAGTCAGATGCAGGGACGAAGGCTTCATTGCCGTCTGCAGTCACGTTCTTACCCACCACCCTCATCCCAAATTTTATGAGCTGCTTAGTTCCCTTTATTCCCCTTGTCCTGTTCCGTGCTCAGACGGACTCCATTTACCCATCTTGGTGTGTGTCAGTCAGGGCCTCTGTTCAGTCCTCCTTGGTGTTTTGCAGTGGGATCTGCTGCTGTTCCTGCTCCGGGAGCTGGTGGAGAAGGGTCTGATGGGACGGCTGGAGATCGAGGCCTGCCTGGGCAGCCTCCGTGAGGCCCAGTGGCCAGGGGTAAGGAGGCCTCGTTTTGTCCCACATGGAGAGAATGGGTGTCGTAGATCCTATTCGTCCTGAAAGGGGGCAAGTAATGGGCCAAAGTCGGTGGATTTTTGTCAAGTGTCTTCAGGACCACCCCGAACTTAAGGAGCTCTGGCTGACCGCCTTCGGTTCTGAGTAGCTACTGCATGAGGGGAGAGTGTTAGGGAGACAGGGAAGAGGGAGGGAGGCAGTTAGAAAGCAGCAGGGCACAGTGACTGGGGGTTTTCAAAATCAGAGTAACCTGGATTTTGAGCTCAGCTAGTACTTAGAATTTTGAGTGATTTGGGCAAAGTAACCTTATTCATCTATAAAATGGGACTAATTTCAAGATGAAATAGATGTGCTGAGTAGGTGGTGAAATGCCATCAGAGTTCACTCTCCCTGCCATTTTAGCCTCCCAAAGTACTAACAAGGTCCATTTCATCATAGAGAGCAGTTGGGAAAAAATAATATAGCCCGGCTACAGTGTACTCACTGGTTAGCTGGGGCTTGATATTTGGGATTATCTGTAGTAAAAAGGATGAACCATCCAGAATTGCCTGCCTTTTTCTGTCATCTTTTCTACTTATTCCAGGACTTCTCTGAGGAATTAACAACCCTGTTCAATCTGTTTCTGGCAGAGCCTCATCTGCCAGAAACCCAGCTGAGAGTTCGTGAGCTGGTGCAGCCAAATCGGGGGGCCGTGCTGGCCCAGAGCTAGGACGGGGAAGGGACCCTGCCTTGAATGTCTCACCAGAGCCCTGGAACCCCGCATGGGCCTGGGGAGGAGGCCCAAGAGCCCGGTGCCATCCCAGGGGCCCAGGGCTGGCCCTTGCTGGTCTGAGTGTGGCCGGCTTGATAACCAGAACTGCTCAGAGGGGAAGGAAACGTGGGGCTGCTGGGCATCCCACCGACTGCAGGCTCGCCATCCGAATCCTCGAGGAAGGAGCGTTCACCTGATTCAGGATTATGGTGGAAAGGCCTACCTAGAGACTCCAGCCCTGGAGCAGCAGAGTTGGCGTTCATCACTGGGATACTAAACAAAACAAGGGGTGTGGGCTTGTCGACACAGGAGTCAAGCCTCATTTGCTGCTATCCCAGCATCTCTCAAAACTGTGGTCTGGGAAATCATGAGAGAGGTAAATGACTTCTGTTTTAACTTGTGAGGAAAGTTAAAACGTGAATCTTGGGGTTTTTTTGTTTTTTTTTTAATACCACCAGGAGCTAGACTGCCAGCTCTTTAAAAATGCACAACAGATAAGGTAGGACTCACCCAAGCGAAACCTGGCTTTGCCCCTGTACCCGCCGCCCCTGTGCAGGTAGGACCTCTTTAGGCCCCCATCTCTGTCCAAGGACCAAGCACAGGGCAGAACATTAGAGCTTTTAAAAATAAACTGTTTTCTTTAACAAGGGCTTGAGGCTTAGTATTTTCACCTGTCTTTTCCCTTTAAAAGGCTGCAGAGTCACAGGTGGGCCTTAGGTTGGGAGTTTAAGAGTGGCTTGGCTTGGCTCTGTACTGCCAATGTCAGCTGCCTTGCCTCTTAGTAATGCCTGCATGTTCCACTCAAGAGGCTGTCTCTGCTATTAATTTACTGCCAATAGTATTGACTTTTCCTGGGCAACTCCCTTTCATATGTGGGAGAAAGGTTTAGGATAATACGCAGTTTCCACTCACAAGGTATTCCCTACTGAAACACATAGTGGGGCAGCTCTTATTATGCTTATTTTATTAGGGCTGGCGTGTTTGTTTTGACTCAGAATTGGTCTGTATTCTACTCCTGAATTACACTTTTCAAGACCACATCTCTAAGTGAACCATTGATTCTAAGAGTGGTAATATAATTCCCTAGAGGGATCCACTTCCCTACTAAAACTAGGAAATCTCATCAACCCAGAAAGTGGGTTTCTCAGTTACCACCTTGTGATCATCCTTCTCCCAAATACTATGCCTTTCCCTTCCCCTCTGCTCATCCCAGTCAATCCTTTAACAAGTTTCCGCATCCAAACCTTTTTTCCTGATCTCTTTGTCCTTTAAATCCAATTTGTTACCAATGCCTGGGAACCAAAAAAGTTTCAAGAAATGTTTTCTCTTTTATGCCCAGAGACAGAACCACACCTAATACCCAGGAAGCTGAGGCTTATGGCTACTTCTTGACTTGTTCCAGAGGATCCAGCTGAGGTGTGACATGGGACCAGCAGGAGAGAAAAGCCTAAAGGTCTCAAAGATGTTGGGAACTGGCCCAGGCCCGGCTTAAGGCCCACTGAGCTAAAACCAAGCTCTTGGGAATCTAAATGGAAATTTTATGTGGTCCTGGTGAAGGAAACTTCTGCTCGCATGTGTGAGCCCTAAAAGCCACTCTAAGGATTACGGAGACAGGCAGCTAATGGCCTAGGGAACTAATCAAATTCCTTCTTATGTATCTGCTCTCTACTAGTTGTGTAAACCAGCAGCGTTTAAAGTGTTCCCGGACCAGGGTCACCTGGGACTCAGAAATACAAATCCTCGGGCCCCTCTTCAGACCTACCTGAATGAGCAGCTGGGGTAGGGCCCAGCCTCACGTGTTAACAAGGCCTTCAGGTGACACTGATGTGTGCTACAAATTTGAGAACCACCCATCTAAATCAAAATCTGACCTCACTTTTTTATGTTTTGCTACAAGATTAATTAACATTCTGACTTAAAATCAGGTCTGATGTGTGGCTTCTCTAGTATGGGGGATAAGGTCACCTCTTAGTTATCCATCAAGAGTCCCATAGCTGGCTCTGCCTCCGAACCCCACAGCACTATGGTCACGGTGAGGTGTGGCAGTGACTGTTTTGGAATCCTCGCTCCCTATCTTACTTGGGCTGTAACCGAAAAACTAATCTGGTTGCTATTTACCTTGCAAAGCAGTGCTGAGCTCACAGGAAGCACTTAGTACATACATGTAAACTGAATAGCTTGAAATGGCCATGAGTAGGTATTGCCAGTGTGATCTCCAGGCTAAATTCTGCCACACTCAAATAACACACTTGGCTATCCTAGGACAGTCTTCACTTCAGGTAAAAGTACACATAGGTCTTACAATTTACAAACATTATGACCTTTTTGGTCAACAGTCTTAAAGGTTTATATGAAAAGAGGTGGGAGTACATAAATAGGGTGTTAAATATATCAAATGTCACCAAAAAAATTAACCAGAAAAATAAAAGTTTAAAAGCAATTTTAAAAACCATCAATAATATATAAATAACTTAATCTGAGGTAAGAGAAAAAAGCCCTGCAAACACTTTTAGAAAAATAAATCTCTGCTGCACTGTACAGAATTTCCCCTTTTACCCTAATTTCTCAATCCCCACACGGTTACCCGCTTCCACCAAAGATTTGGGGTACCGGAACTAAAGATGGGAATCTCTCCCATCCCTGCCACTTCCAGGTAAACATACAGAGTATTCAGAGGTCACGTTCAGCCAGGCTAAGGTACAAGCAAACTGAATCCACTCTCCATCCCATCCCAATAGGTGGGGCCAGAGCAGCATCATGGAATGCTCAAGAGACCACCTTTGAAGGAGGTGAGGCAAGGTACAGAATTGTGCTTCCTCCTAACAAGTCACTCACCTCCTCTAGTTCATTTATTTTTCTCTCTTGTCTTCAAAGGATAATTTTTAATCTCTTTAAAATTCCTCTTGCCTTGTCAGCAACCAGCATCGGGCTGCCAGCCTCCCTCACCAGTCCTCAAAGAGCTAGGCCCCCACCCAGACCCCAAATCTGTCCCACCTGGTTCCACAATGGTCTCCCATTACTGAGCTCAGAGTGACAGCTCCATAACAGCATCACTCAACAGTACTGACTCATGCAAAGACCCAAGTGTCCTCTCCTGGGAGGGAAAGAAAAAACAAAAATGAACAATAAAGCATTCTGCAAAAATGCAAGAGGGAGAAAAGATCCTGAATCGGTGTTCTAGTTTGTGCAGCTATTTTTTTAAACCCTTTTACTGTTTGGCGTTTTCTAATACTCCATCGCACAGTGGAGCTGGACGCTGGAGGCAGATTCAGAGCAGAGTCTCAGCCAGTGGCTGCTTGCTTCCCTGCCAGCCTGAGGAAGCGCCGCAGCTCTGCAGTCCCCCAACTCTGCTGGCTGTGCCCAGTCCTGGGCCTTGAGTGGCTTGTCTGCTGTAGAGTCCCAAAGACAGGAGATAAAGATGAGAATTCCAAAAGGTGAGTTGAGCTTCATTCGCTCTGGACAGCCAGCGCCAGGAGCTCAGGCCACTCCCTCTGCAGTGGTGCCAGCTGTCGCCAAGCACTGACTGGGCTCTGCTAGCAACCCCAGGCCAGTGCTGTCTGCCCACTGGCCACAGCCTCAGCTCTTCTTGCATCAAGGTACAGAAAGTAACAAGGAGCTGCCGGAGTGTGTGTCTGGAGCATCCTGGGCCTGCATCTCAGCAGCACCATGTCACGGTGAGATGCTAACTGCCAAGGAAGGAAGCCAGTCTGGCTATCACCAGCGGCTGCTGTTTGATAAAGGAGTTTAGGAGCTGAGGGGGGAAGCCTGGAGCACCAAGTTCTACCTGCAGGCAGAGAGGGAACAGTTAAAGGTGTGAACAGACTTGAGAGTGCATGCCAGGGCACCCTGTATCCCCAGTAGCCACCCCCGTCTGTGGTGATGGGAGAAGTACCTCAGACTCTACTGAGCTGGGCCTTCAGGGGCTCTGCTGTTCAGATCTAAGCATTGGCTTTCACCTCCCAATGAAAAAGTTCAAGGTAAAGGACTAGGAATGGGTCCTCATTCTGCTCTGCTGAGGCGGCTGCTTTAGCCTCACAATGACTCATCTATCTCCTCAAGACCCTGGGATCAGCTGCAGGATGCAGGCTGCTAAGTCTCTGGTAATAGCAGCTTCAGAAAAGGTTGACAAACTGTCTCATTCCTTCCTCACTGACTCCCCTCACTGCAAGCCCAAGAAGCTCCTGAGGCTCCAGCTTTGGCCTGGGCACTGAAGGATGTTGAAAGCTGGACAGAAAAATCCCAGGGCCTCTGTGGGACCAAGTCAGGGTGTGCTGTGAGGCCAGCTGCAAGGGGCGTATCACCTGGGCCAAGTAGATGACTCTGGTGATTTCCTTTCCTTCCATGGTGACAGGCTGCAAGATCCAGGCACTGGGCAGGATCTCCCCTCGAACCATTTTTCTGCTGGGTCTTGGCATGGATGTGTCATACACAGACTGAGCAGCCACAATAGACAGGTGTCCCTGGGGACAGAGAGGGATGTGAGTCCTGCCTATGTAGTGTGGACAAAACAGGAGCAGGCTCAGGTGTAGTCCGTGTGGTGGCAGATAACACCGAGCAGGCTTTCCAGCCACCCCCACCCTGGGCCCAGCCCCAGTTTGCCCTCCTTCCTCCTGAGGACCTAACACCCACAGAGACTGCTTCTCACAACACTCCAGCCCAAGTTCTTCCCACAACATCTTTACCACCACCAAGGCAGGCACCTCTTTGGCTTCCACGCAGACACAACAGAAATCCCGTGGCTGCTTCAATGCACACAGGGAGGTGCTGCACACCAAGTACACTGGAGGGACAGGGATAGGGGAGAGTCAGGAGGCCATGGACAGACCTAGTCTTAGATCCTTCCTGGCCCGGGAGCCCCCTCTCACCCCAGCATCCACAAGCTAGACTAGGCTGAGCAGTGTGGAGGTAGCCTGGGAACCTGTCCTCCAACCCTCTCCTCTGTCCCCTGACAGAGTGCACTGGACACACCAGAAACCAGGCCCCATGGAAACCTTCCTTCGCTGGCCTCACCCAGGTTGATGCTGTTGGTCACCCGCTGATGCAGCCTTGCTGTCTGGATGGGCTTGTGATACAGGGGCCAGAGGGTGGGGTCACTCACAGCTGCCCACACGTGGGACAGCGGCTGGGACACCACACCTGCCCCCAGGAAGCCATGCCGGGTAGAAGAAAACACTTTGAAGTAAAGCTGCACCGCCTGCTCCTCACCCTGATGGCTGGGGGGAAACACCAAGGATAGGAAAGAGGAGGAGGTAAAAAATGGGTCACAAAGGAAGAGCTTGGGGTGAGGACCTGAGGAAGCCAGGGTAGAGGGAAAGGAGAAGCCACGCAGGACAACAGGGTTAGGGCCAAGACACTGCAAAGGAACTTACTTCCAGCCAGCTGTTGCCTGGCCACTGAAGAGGTTGTGCAGGTTATCTGAACAAGCAGCCATCACCTGGGGACACAGTGGCCACACCCAAATTAGTAGGCGCAGTACACACTAGGCCCTGGCTTAGGCAGTCTGGCCCACGTTTACTGGACTCGTCTCTCCTCAAGGGGGAGGGCCGCTGAAGACGCCCACAAGCCTGGAGACCCCAGCCTGCCCAGCTCCCCTTTCTCTTCCTCCCCCCGGCCGAGGTCTGGTTAAAGGAATGGCGGGAGGAGTAGGAGCAGTTACTCACATCAGCCACAGAAGTGTCCACGATGTGCTTGGCCAAATCCTGGTAGGAGGAGGAGAGGGAGGTCCCCAGGCTGGACAGGCTGGATGGAGAACAGCAGCAGCAACTGCCCAGCGAGGCTCTGCGGCCTACAATAAGTAGGTGGGGCTCAGCACAGCAATAGCTCTCCCGCAGAGATGGAGATGGGGGCTGAGACCCTCAGGCCAGTGACTCCCTAAGATCTAGCAAGCATCAGCCCCAAGTCCCCAAGCCAGGCAGGTGACTATACCCCACTCTCCTGCACTCACTGTAGGCTGAGCTCTTCCAGGCGGACCCAGCCAGGGACAGGTGACTGTTCCTCACTGCAGGACGGCCCCGCCCATCCCCTATCCAGGTGTCCTTGGAATCAGGCAAGTTCACATGTCCCTGGAGAACAGAGGATACCCAGGATAGAGTCAGAAGGCGAGCACAGAAGGATCCCCTCCACCTCTGAGCTGCACCCTCGCAGCTTCCGGTGTGAGGGATCAGTTGTAAAGATCTCCCCTGCTGGGATCACAGGAGTCTAGATGCCCCCACAAGGAGACAACAGCAATAGAAATCCGTGCCTGGACAATCTCGCCTCGCCATCCAAGCCACAGGCTTAGAGTTGCTTGTAGGAGAGTTCCAACAGGGATCAGAACAAGTGGGGCTGCGAGTACCAGGTACTCTGCCAGCCTGGAACCTGGGGGGACCAGGGGTCAGCGGGTGGGAGGCCCTCTGCACCACCTTGGCAACAGCAATGAGGTCATGGCAGGAGGGGTTTAGTCTGGATAATAAACAAAGCCAAAGTGGAAAGTGGGAGGGGGAGGAGAAGCAACGGGCTATGAACAGCTGAATCCTTGCCCCCTGCCCCAGGTGCAGCAGCTCAGCTAAAGGTCCTAATATGGGACCAGGTGGCGATGGTCCTCTGGATCTGCAGCATGGTCACCACACCTTCACCTCAGCAAGCTCCTCAGTGACACGACCCTTAACCTATTGCTTTTTTTCTTTCAATCCTTATTCCAGCACTAGAACTATTATTACTTTGAAGACAACAAGAAGGGGTGAAAAAAGGTTCTGTCTCCATCCTCCCCTCCTGCTGCGAGAGACAGGTCGCAGGTCCTTCTACCTCAGCTTTAGATCTCTGGCCACCCTCTCAGGAACCTTTCATCTGATCCTTCCTATCAGCATTTAGCATGCAAGAATTTCTCCCATCTTAAAAATCTTCCTTGATGCCACTTCCCCTCCACTACTGGGCTATCTTCACGCTCCCTCCCTTTACAGATAAGCTTCTTGAATGGGTGTCCTGCTTTGCCATATCCCACCCATTTCTGAACCCGCCCTGATCCAGCATTTGCCCTCACCACTCCTCCAAACAGCAGTCACCAAGGTCCATGATGACGACCACATGGCTGGATCTGGTGCACAGCTTCCAGTCCTCATCCTCTTGAACCTTTAGGAAGGCTTCAGCTCAGCCAGGCTCTCCCTTTTACTGAGAGACTCCCTTCCCCAGAATCCTCAGGTTCCCATCTCTCTGGATGCTCCTTCGTGGTTTCTTTGGTTGATTCATCCTTTTCAACTATCGACTGATATTTTGGGATTTTTTTAAAACTCAGGCCTAGGCCCTATATTCTCATTCTCTAATATACTTCTAGTTGATCTCATCTCTTCCCAGTGCTACACTGATAACTTCCAGAAATAAATATCTATGAATCAACCAATAAATATTGCTGAGACAACTGGGTAGCCATTTGAAAAAAAGATAACATCAGACACCCATTTCATAGACCATGCTAGAATAAATCCTTTATGCCTTGTGGATCAAAGACACACTGCAGAGTGAGGGAAGTATAACATTATTACAAAAAAATATAATTCAAAAACTAATCTCAGCCAGGCACAGTGGCACATGCCTGTAGTCCCAGCTACTTGAGAGGCTGAGGCAGGAGGACTACTTGAGCCCAGGAGTTTGAAGTTGCAGTGAGCTATGATGATGCCACTGCACTCCAGCTCTGGGCAATAGAGTGAGACCCTATCTCAAAACAAAAAACAAAAAAACCTCTGAAACCTAGGAACACATAGGGGATTATACACCACAATGAAGTGGGATTTATCCCAGGAATGCAAGGTTTGCTCAACATACAAAAAATCAATATAATACACTAATTAATAACAGCAACAAAAAAAAAAACCCATATGATCATCTCAATAGAAACCAGAAAAAGTATTTGACTAAATCCAGTAACTTTTCATGATGACAAGAAAGCATTCAACAAACTAGGAATAGAAGGGAATTTCCTCAACCTGATAAAGGTCAGCTATAAAAAAGCCTGCAGCTAACATTATATTTAATGGTGAAAGACTCAACGCTTTTCTCTTAAAATCAGGAACAAGACAAGGATGCCTGCTCTTACCAATTCTATTCAACATTGTACTGGACATTGGGCAATTAGGCAAGAAAACAACAAAAAAGGCAGATGATATGATCTTGCATATAGAATATCCTAAAGAATCTACTAAAAAACCATTAGAACTAATAAATGAGTTCAGCAACGGTACTGGAGAAAAGCTCAATATATAAAAATCAATTGTATTTCTATATAATAGCAATGAATGAACCAAAAATGAAGTTAAAACAATTTCATTTATAACAACATTAAAGGAATAAAATACTTAAATAAATAAATAAATTTAATAAAACAAGTATAAAACTTACACTCTGAAAACTTCAAAACATTATTGAAATTAAACATAAATAAATACAAAGACATCCCATGTTCATGGATCTAAAGACTCAGCCCTAACGGATCTACAGATTCAATGCAACCCCAATCAAAATCCCAGCTGATTTCTTTGCAAAAATTGATAAGCTGATCCTAAAATTGATGTAGAAATCTGAGGGATCTAAAATAGCCAAGGTAATCTTGAAAAAGAACAAAGTTAGAAGATGCATACTTCCCGACTTCAAAATCTAGTACAAATCTACAGTAATCACGACAGTGTGGTACTGGCCCAAGGACAAATACACAGATCAATGAATGGAACAGAATTAGGAGTCCAGAAAGAAATCTACATATCTATGGTCAATTGATCTTCAACAGGGGTGCCAAGACAATTCAAGGGGGGAAAGAATAATCTTTTCAAAAAAAGTGTTGGGAGAAATGGATATCTACGTGCAAAAAGAATGAAATCCGATCCCTACCTTTCAGCATATATAAAAATTAACTAAAAATGGATCAAATAACTAAATGCGGGGGCTAAAAGTATAAAACTATTAGAAGAAAACAGGCATACTCTTTGTGATCTTGGATTAAGGCACTAGTTTCTTAGATATGAAGCCAAAAAAGTGCAAGGAACAAAGGAAAAAATATATAAACTAGACATCATCGACATTAACAATTTTGTGTTTCAAAGAGCACCATATCAAGACAGTAAAAAGACACACAGAATGGGAGAAAAGTTTTGTAAGTAACATATTTGGATAAGGGACTTATACTAGAATATATGAAGAACTCTTAATAATAAAAAGACAATGAAATGTTAAAATGGGCAAAATACCTGAATAGACATTTTTCCAAAGAAGATATAAATGGCCAAAAGCACATGAAAAGATGCTCAACCTCATTAGCCTTCAGGGCAATGTGAATCAAAACCACAATAAGGTACCACATCACAGGGATGGCTATAATCAAGAACAGATAACAGCGAGTGTTGGTGAGGACATGGAGAAATACACCCTCACATACTGCTGAGGGGAATGTAAGGTAGTGCAGCCACTTTGAAAAACAGTCTGGCAGTTCCTCTGTGATCCAGCAGTTCAACTCTTAGATACATATCCAAGAGAAATGAAAACATATGCCCATATAAAAACTTTACAGGAATGTTCAGAACAGTATTATTCATAGTAGGCAAAAAACAGAAAACAAGCTAAATGGCTATCAACTAATGAATGGATAAATAAAATGTGGTTTATTCATATAATGGACTATTATTTGGTCCTAAAAACATATGAAGTTCTGATATAAGCTACAAAATGAATGAACCCTTGCTGTGGGTTGAATTATTATCTCCAATAAAAGACACATTGAAGTCCTAACCCCCCATGTATCTGGGAATTTTACCTAATTTGGAAATACGTTCATTGCAGATGTAATCAAGTTAAGATGAGATCATACTGGATTAGAGTGGGCCCTCAGTCCAACGACTAGTGTACTTATAAGAAGGCTTTGTGAAAACACAGGGATGGACGGGGATGGACACAGACATGGAGACAGACACACATACGCACACGGAGAATGCCATGTGAAGACGGAGGCAGAGATTGGAGTGAACGCCAAGGACTGCTGGCAACCACCAGAAGTTTGAAAAGAGGCATGTGATAGATTCTTCCCCCAGGAGCTTTCTGGGGGAGGATGGTGCTGCTGATGCTAATATTTTGGCCTTCTAGCCTAAAGAACTATGAGAGGATAAGTTGTTTTCGGCCACCCTGTGTGTGGTAATCTGTTACAGCAATCCTAGGAAACTAACACAATCCTGAAAACATGCTAAGAGAAAGAAGCCAGTCAAAAAAAACCAGGTATTATGATTCCATTTATATGAAATGCCCAGAATAGGCAAATCCACCAGGACAGAAAATAGATAGTGGTTGCCTAGGGCTAGGCGATGGTGGGTTTGGGGAGTGATAACTAATGGCATGGGGTTTCTTTTTGGGGTAATGAAAATGTTTTAAAATTGTGGTGAGGGATACACAACTCTGTGAATATCCTAAAAGCCAATGATTTATAATAAAAACAGAGGATAAATGAATTAAAGTACAGGCAGTCCTGAGGACATCTTTAGGTCAGATTTGTATGTAACTCGGATCCCTGATGAGCAGTGCATATGTGGTAATAACACTATAATGGCTCATATGTGGTAATAACACAGTGTAAACTGTAATAATAATACCCCTGTATTGTAATAATAAGTTACAGAAACTATTGTGCTCTTTTAATTCAAACAAACAGAACATAAAAACAAACTCATACAAAAAGTTTAGAAAGGAGATGGGAGAAATTTCAAAAAAGAATATTAAAGGTTAACACCTAATGTAGCATCAACACTAGGCTAATAGAAATGTTACACTTATTTTGATTTTCTAACAAAATCAATAACCTTTCCATTTCAATAATTAATTCACTGTGCTTAGTAATAATTGATGTTTTCATGGAGCACTGCCTCTCACATGCTCCATTCTTCTCACTTTATAATTGTTTTGATAGTTGAGTGACTGAAGCCTAACGCTTTCCCAAAGAATGATGGCATTGGTCTTTGCCCAAACACTTAATTATTTCTACTTTCATTTCCATTATAATCACCTTTCTCTTCGCTGCAGACTCACCTGGACTTGCAGTGGACTTTCACTCTAG